ATAGAAATAACCACTGATCTGGATAGAATGGCTACTTTAGTTTCTTATGGCATACTAACAAATTTAACAAATTTATCTGTACTGTATAGAACCATAATTCCAAATATAAATTATACATGATCAAATACAACTACAATTATTAATTTTTAAAAATGTATGCCACTGAGATAGACTCTTACAAAGCTGTTCATGATTAGGTTTCAGTCATACTGTGTTCCAACACCCATCCCTCCCCAAGTATACATTTCCCAGCACCAGTGTCCCCAGTTTCCCTCCCCTCACCCCCAACCCTGCCTCTATGGCAGGCCTCTCTCTCTCTCTCTCTCTCTCTCTTTCTCTCGCTCTCTCTCTCTCCCCCCCTTCCTTTCTCTCCTCTCTTTCTCCGCCCCACTTTCCCCCCTCCCTCTCTCCCTCCCTTTTAGGCATTAGGGTTTGCAATACACGTACTGAAAGGTAGTGTACATCCCTTTACCTACTTTTCACTCTCAGTTCTTGTCCAATGTGATCATTTCCAGCTATTACTGTCATACCGTTCCCTTCTCTATCTGAACTACCCTCAACCCCCCACACACTTGTGGTTGGTTCTAACATTAACCAGTCCTCCTAGCCTGAGAGACCAAGTACAGTTAACAGTAAAATAAAATTCAATGTATTTTTCTTGCCTTTGTTTTTTTTTTGGGGGGGGGGGGGGGAGAGCCACATTCTGTGGTGCTCAGGGACAACATCTGGAAGTGCTTGAGGGAATAAACTGTGCCGTGACCCCTAATAAGTGAAACATTAAAAGCAGCACTTCACTTGAAATCAGAATCTTTCAAGAGGAGGAGCTATTTAAACTAAGAGAGTAAGCAGGAAATCAGGGATGGAGTGAGGTAAGCAAATTTGGTCAAGCAGGATTAAAGAGTACATATAGTTCTACAAGAAATGGCATCGCAGGGTCAGGATCAGAGGTTGGAGAGAGCTGAATATAGAAAGGTAGGCACAAAGGCCTGGTCTGTCGAATCAAGGATGAATTATCATTTTTAAAAATAAATAATGAGGAATCACAAGTGTATTTTAAGGGCACGGGAGGAGGTTAGCTGGAAAAGAGAGCATGCTCAGACCCACTTTATAGAACGATTCTTTTAGCGAAAGAGTCCAAGTTGACCAGGAAGGCACACAGATACAGTCCAGACAAGCAAGAATGAGCAGCTAATTTAAATCAGTAAATGGTTAGATTGAAGAATAAGGAATGAAAGACTTAAAAGGAAGTCTTGATTATACTGAGAAATCTAGGGACACCTTCCCCATCCCCCTTTTTCTTGTCTTGGCAAATGACTGAGTCAGATCACTAATCAAAAAGAGGACAACAGGGCCTGGGAGAATGAGCATTCCTAGCTGGCCTCAGCCTCTGTGCGTCCTGTCCACATGTACCCCGTCCCCCGCCACACCTCCAACCCACCGAAGGAGACAACAGAAAGAGGTGGTTTTTGAGAAGAACATGGAGAGCTCGACTGGAATTTTACTGAGAAGGTTCAGCTGAGGATAAAAGAGTAAAATTAACTCCAATGGGAGAAAGTAACATAAAGGTAGAATTGGAAGACTCCTGCAAAAACAATGTTATCCAGAGGGAGCAAACTGATGGAAAATTGAGTTAAGAATACCTAGAATTGCTGCTCAGGAATATCTTACTTTCCGTCTCTCATTTGTTTTCCAATCGGACAAAGCAAACTTTATGCAAGTGGATGCTATTTATAATTTGCATACTACTTAAAAGTATGGAAGCGTTTTCATAGAGTTCTGCTGAATAGAGATGCCTGAGCTTCCTAAATGTTATATCCAACGTATGATCGTGCCAGGCATTAGCAAAATGCTTAGGATCTAAAAGGTGCCTACTGAAATGGATGGATTAAATAAAAATGATTTTTAGGTCAATGAGCCAAACAGTTTGTGATATTTTTAATGTAATTTGACAAATGGAAAAAAATTTATGACAAATGTAATTTACTTAGAAAATTACAATTTCAGTGATCCTGGGAACTATGAACTTTTCAGCAACTTGAATTCCTCTTACATCAACAATGCATTCCTATCCAGATAATAGACTTCTGTAGAGAAGTTAGGAGCAGGTAGAAAAGTTCAATTCCTAACTGAAAATGAGACAAGCCCAAGAATAAGCAGGAAGATGGTTGTTGAGTACAAGACATTGCTAAAAGGCCTTAAAGAGTACAAATAGGTACAATACAGGAGCGCCATCAGTGAAAGCTTGGAGTGTCAGTGTTTGTTTACTTTGGTTTATTACTTTTTATTAATAAGGCAAAAGGCAAGGAAAAAGATCAACAGTCTTCATACAACTAGAGTCAAACCTTCCTATATAAACCAGGTCTTAATATTTTCCTCATCCTCATCTTAGGCACATCTTTTTTTGTTAATGAGAGTTGTAAGTATGGCAGCAATAGGGAAAAATAAAGTCTACCTTAACAACATAACCTGATATAAAAACTATCTGAAAATAAATACATCCATCATTACAGGTGCAGATTTGTATATAAACCTTTTTGTGTGACTTAGAACTCGGTGTAAGTGACTCCGGGAACGCTCAACACCAGACATCCTGGTACTATGTGTTTCATCACAATGACGTTTAGATCCTAAGACCTGTGTGGAGCAATAGTCTTGAATTTGGAAGTCAGCAGTCCTGGCTTCGTCATTTGCTATCTGTGTAACTGGAATTTGTTCTCAAGCATCTCAGTAATCTTATCTGTAAAATGGGACTAATGAAATATCTCACAAGACTGACAAGAATATAAAATATTCACACACATTGTTATTTTTGTAGCTGTAAGCTTAGTACTTACTGCTTCTTCCTACATTTTGTTTCTTTTCCACACCTGGCGGTGCTCAGGGCCTACAAGCAGGGCTCGGGGGCCTTACCTGCTGTATTACCTTTCCGGCCCACTTCTTCTATTTCAAGTATATAAAAACCCAGGTTCCACCAGGACATAAAATCCTTAGGGGCTCACTTTCAGAGTAGTAACTGTATCATAGATGGAAGGGTCCCGAGTAAGGTATGTCTTCCCTTCCATCTTCCATGGAACATAGAGTGAAGTCAGAATTCTAAGTGCCACTAGCAGAGAAGGCAGTGAACGGTGTCCAGAAAATTCATTGCCAACAACCAAGCAGATAATCTGCATCTAGTAAGCCTAGTGTTCTGGTATAATCAGAGCAAAAACTACCAGGAATTTGCCTCTCATGGTCCTGCATTAAGAAAAGTCTGCATCTATAGGGGAGAGGGAGAGGGAGTGGGAGATGGAGGGAGAGAGAGAGAACAATGGGTAGGACATTTCTATTTCTGCCTTGCAGGCAGGGGACCAGGTTCGATTCTGGGTGCTGCCAGGAGTGACTCTGGTACAAAACCAGGAATAGCTTGTGGACACTGCAGGGTGTGGCTCTCCCTTCTCCCCCTCAAAAAAACCCAGAAACTCTTCATCTGCTAACACAATCTCGAGGCAAAAACACCACAGCAAGGGCTCTATCTTTTACAACACTAAAATCCAGTTCCAGCCCTCTAACTTTCAGAATTAAGAGTAAGGTGACCTCCATGGTAAAGTCAGAGTCAACCCATTCAGAAGCAAGATGCCCTCCTGGGTCCTCAAAAAGTTGTCCTTTTCAGAGAAGGAACGGAATGAAGGGTGCAAGGAGCAAGATGAGAAGGGGAAGTAACAAGGAGCAGAGTCACCGGCTCCGGTTATACTGAGGATGCAAGAAGAGTGGTGTAGTTACATATCCAAAACAGACTCAACAATACCAAAGATCTAGGCTGCAACCAGCGGCCTTTGTATGGGAACTCTGGTGGAGGGAAGTTGACACCGGTGGTGGGTTTCATGTTGAAATACTCTATGCCTAACATTCAACTCTCAGTAACTTTGTAAATCACGGACAGTTCTTTAAATAATAATAATAAAAAAAAAAGTTGCGCGCCCCCCCACCCCCCACCACACACACACTTTTTACAAGAGCATCGCCATAATCACAACCCCAATTGCTCTCCAGTGTTTTTTCTGAAGGCCCCGAATCCATGTCCAAACGCAGGGCTAGCTTGGAATGTCAAGTTCAACACTCCACCACCGCTTGGACTGAGATTCGTAGTTTGGACTCACGTCGGAGAAGAGCTGTCTTGCGCATCAGGATTTTACCTCCAAACGCATTATTACTATTATTGTTCTCCACCACCCTCCTCCGGACTCCCCCCCCCCCTCACCCTCCCCAGGGAATCCAATGAGGAAGCCACCAGCGGGGTGTGCAGGCTGGTGGGGGGGGGGAGGGAGGAAGGCTTGCGAGGGCTGGGGGTGGGCGGGGGGGGCATCTGAGATCCCCCCCTCCTCCACACACACACACACACACACACACACACCCCATGCCCCAGGCTGGTCCACACCAGCGGGCTCCGGCCAGTGGTGGGGAAGGCAGAGCCACACCCAAAGCGGCACCAAGCCACAACTTCCCGGCCAAGTGCTACCAAGTTTCAGCATTTCAAGGACGGGGAGATTTCCCCCCCCCCAAAAAAAAAAACCTCTTATTTTGTTTTATTTTGGAAGTGATGTGTTTGTGGGAGGAGGAGGGGGGGAAGGGCTCCAATTTGCTTTTGCTCCCAAGACCCGTGCAGGCCCCCAAAGCACAGCAGGCAGATCCCAACGCGCCAGAAAACGCATTCTGGACTGGAAATCACCACCCCCCCCCGCCTCGCCGTCCCCCGCACCAAGTCCCACCCTACCCCCTCACCCCCCACCCCTCCCGGCTTAGAATAACCCGGGGATGGAGAAGTGCCTGATTGAAAGATCTCCGCATCCCCGGCCTCCACGTGGAGGGAGGGGAAGGACCGGGGGGGGGGGGCCGGGGGGGAGGGGTTCCCGGTTCCAGGTGACCAAAGGTCAGAAGGGGCCCGCCCCTCCCCCCAAGGGGGGGTGGGCGATCGGGCCGCCCCCCCTCCCCCTCCCCACCCCTCCTCCCCCGCGCCCGCTCACCTTGGCCACGTAGTCCTTCACCTCGTCCAGGTCCCCATTCTTCAGGGCCCACATGAACTCCTTGTCGCACATCTCTGCAGCGGGGCGGGCGGACAGCGCGGGGCCGCGAGGGAGACCGGGCCGCGCCGAACCGGGCCGGGGACGGGGACGACGACGACGACGACGACGACGATGACGACGCCGCGGCGGGGCGGGGCGGGGCGGGCGGAGGAGGCCGCGGGGCGAAGCTCAGGGCCGCCGCGAGCGCCGTCGGGGCGGCAGCGAGGAGAAAAGTTCTTGAGCGGGCCGGGAGAGCGGGTTCCGCCTGGGCGAGGAGAAGCCGGAGCGTTGCACTTCCGGTTCACTCCCCGCCAGGCCCCGCCCCCGGCTTCCTCTTCCTCTTCCCCCCCCCCCCACCCCCGACCTCCCCGGGGCCCGCTGTGCGCAGGCGCGGAGGGCCGAGTGGGCGGGGTCGGGGAGTGGGCGGGACCCGGAGGCCCCGGCCGGGGATGCTGGGCGGCTGGGAGGGGGCTGAGCTGCACGGGCGTGGAAAGTGGGATGAGGGCTTTTCTGCACATCTTCCCCAAACACGGACCTCTTCTTTTCTTTAAAGCAGAACCAGCTTTTTGTTTTTCTGATAAGAGTTTATCTTGGAAGAGTGTTTGGTGTCAATTTCTTCCTTTCTCCTTCTTGCTTCCTTCTCCTCTCTTTGGTCCTCTCTGCCATCCTCCACTTTCCCGCCCTCCCTCCTTGTCCCACCGCCCTCCCTCAATTCCCTTCTTTTTTCCAGAGTGTTGTCTTGTACCTACCAGATTCTGCTAGAAACTGAGGATATATATATATTTAAAAGAAAAAGTAAAAACAAAAAACAAAACAAACCCTTGTTCCCCAAGGGTTCTTTCCAAAGACGTCTGTGTGGTCTTAGTGCCTCGGTCTGATATTTTGGAGGGGACAACTTGAGAGGGTGGGGGGAAATTTTTGTGCACATCTCACTGCCACATGATGTCCAAAGCTGATCACTGAGTTTGACGCCATGGGGCAACGCAAACCTAACTCCCATCCAGTGTGCTTTTGTTACATTTTGTGTTCACTTTTTTTAATGGTTTGAAGTGTTATGATCAATCTACTAAAGCGAATTCTGCCCTTCCTAGGACTTGTCTATAATGCCTTGGGGCACTGCCACCCGGTGCCCCAACCTTAATGATTCAAACATCCACACATGAGGTAGAGAAGTTCAGTAAGAACTCTTATTAGAACTACTATATGTACATAATTCTATTCTTTGGCACACAGTAAGAAAATAAAGCAAGCTAATGATTATTCCTGCCATTCGGTATAGAGGTTCAGAACAGAAACTCCCCAATCAGGTTTCTTAATTTTGAAAAGAGGACCCAAGACTAAGTAATTTTGTCACCATGGATATGTTACACCCCCTCTCCCCAGTTTTCTGAGAGTTAAATGGGAACAAAATAGTGTTCAAGAAATATAATTTGGGACATGCAAATATTATCATTAGTAACAACAAGTAGAGGTTTTCAAATCAAAAGAAAATAGTGTTCAAATACTTGACCGCTACTCCAATTGTTGTCTGTTCAGTTTACTTTTGTGCCACTGGAAATGCAATCCATATTTCTAGCAAAGACATTTCTGGAAAAATCTCCAGGAGGAATTCATTACCCAAATCTTGGAGTCTTGTTTCTCGTCTAACTCCCACTTCCACTTGTGTGATCTTGAAGTAACGTCACACTGACAGCTCCTGATTTATCTCTTACCCCAAATTTCTCTTATGTGATCCACTCCTATATTTAAGTTCTATCCAATTTGAGTGTTTCAAAAGTACCATGTCTAAAATAGGATCCGTGTTCCTCTGGATTCTAAGCCTAGTCGTCTCCTAGACACCCCCACTCTATCTTAGCGAATGACACCAGCAACCACCCTGGGTCTAAAACCAGAAATGTGATGACGGAGATTTCTCTGCTTGGCCCAAATCTGGCCAAGCTCTTCTGACTCCTTGTCTCGACTAAGCCTCTATCTTCGCCTATACCAACTTAGTCCCTCACCACTGAAGGTCACATTGCTAAGATGATCCTAGCCTCACTTAACATGCCTGCTTGAGAAAACTCGAGACTTTTCATTTCTCTCATTTTTCTTTCATCTTCTGAGGATCATGTCCATTTCCCTGTGGGAGGGTAGAACCTTAACTTAGATCATTGCCAGTCAGCAGACCCTGCTGGGCCAATCACATTTCTACTGACTAACCCACACACACCGACCGCTTGCCAAAAGTGTAAATTTTCACTTCCCTGACTCTATAGAGACGTCCTTGCATCCGTCCCCTAGGCACCCATTCTTCCTTGTCTAAAAACCATCACCCACCTTGTCTAAATTCAAGTTGAATTTATTCATGCTGGACCCTTTTACTATTCTGGTAGTTATTATTGGCCAAAAGTTTTCCTCACCACTTTAGTGTTTCACTTTAACTCACTATGTTTATCTTTATTAATGGGAGTAAAATTAACTCTTATCTTTCCTAACCTGTCTCTCTAATGCCATTCTTCAGTAGGTTGTCTGTGAAACGTGACATCATGGAGCATATTAAAATGGGGTTGGGAGACAGCCATCAGAGAAAATGCCTTTTTACTGTCCTCTTTAAACTGAATCTGACCCTTCCACAGAGCACAACCACCACATTCTAAGAAGCCAATAAGAATATCCTGTATGAAAGGCCTGATATAAAGAACCTTTGCCTACTTTGCCCTGTGAACCTTCTACCTGGCTATTTTCACGTTGTCATTTCTTCATCTGACCATTATCTCATCCATTAGTCATCTCCCATTACTTCCTCAATTTCCCCTTTCTGTGAGAACATTCTTCTCCTCCCCCACACGCTCATTTAAAGCCATTTTGGGGATCAAAATTGAACTTATGCTCCCTAAGGCTCAGTTCTTTGCCATCCTCAAAGGCTTTTGACTTATAGTTAACTGACTGCTGCTTTCTTACTAAAGACCAATAGCTTCAGAATAGATCTGGATTTACTTTTTGTCATACTAATTACTAAATCTATCACTTCTTAAATACACAACCCTTTGGTAACACCTATTTTCAACCTTTGTCATCTGCATTACTTTAATTGCCACCCAACCAGCCTCTCCATTTTCACTCTCATTCTTCTCACCCTTTGTCATTATTTCATTCACAGAGAAACCATATGTTTTCAAAAATGTAAATCAAGCGTACACTGCTTGTCTACAGATCTTTCGATGACTCCTATTGCATTTAAGATAAAATTGTAATTATTTACTAAGACCTTCACCTCCCTTTGATGGGTGATGGATCCTGAAGGTATTTCCTGTATAACAGCGCCTCCTCAACCCCACTGTTTTTCCCAACTCCCACTCCTGAGCTTCTTCAGTTTCCAAAGTCTGTGGTTTCAGGAAAACCCATGTTCATCCCACCTTCAGTATGCTTGTTGCTTATTATCTGAAAAATGTTTTCAACTCTTTGATAACACCTTCTGATCTCTGATGTCTCAATGCAAATGTTACTTCCTCCAAGAGGCTTCCCAGACAACGTTCATTTTAAACTAGATCTATCAGTTGCACTGACCAGTAAAAAAGTCTGGCTTTTCCTTTCATCCTACTTTTCACAGATATTTTAATTATTATTAGTTTTTCTTATTGGCCTATGGTGGCAGATATTCAATGTTGTTCAATAAACATTTCTCTCTTTTTACTTTTCTGCCCTCCTGAACACAAGAAATAATTGCTCTTCCTGGCTTCCTTGTGGTTGAGTAATGTCATCAACTAATTTTGGCCTATTAGTTTTAAGAAGTAATATGACTCACTTCTAAGCTTCCCAATGTGAGACTCTTCAGAGCGTGTTGTTTCCTTTGCTACAGAAACTAGTGAGACTGTAGCTACATAGCAGTCTGGGCTCCCATAAGGGACTAAAATGAGCGCCCTGCCATCCCCTGATTAACTTGCAGGGTTCATCAAAGTTAAGCTGTTGTTGTTTCCCTGAGTTTTTGGTACTCGTTAGTGCAGCCACCCTGAGCTAGTTGTGACTAATAAAGTAATTGCTGTGAGAAGGGACATGAAACTAGACAAAAGCCAGCAGTAGATGGCACTGGCTTAGGTTGCAAGGAAGCATTGCAAGGAAGCATTGCAAACTAAAACTACGGTGATTCATATTCATAGGGGTGAGTCATTGGGTAAAATAATTCCTATGACATGATGACATTGAGATGACATCAGGAAAGCAGATAACACCCAATAAACTTGTAGCTCTAGTGGAACAGGCTGGAAAAATGGCAAGCTGGTGGCATGTATTAGTAACTATTTTTGGAGAGAAGGCATTGAAGCAGGCAAGTAGATTAGACGGGCCCTGGAAATGAGTTCCAAGATCTGGATTCAAGTTACCTTGGTGAGCCAGGAGGACTGGTCCATGGTTGGAAACTTGCACAGGTGTAGGTGGGAGGGTAGTTAGAACAGAGAAGGATCCACTATGACAATAAAAGGCCCTCCCGTTGATCATCGATTTGCTCGAGCGGGCCCAGTAACATCTCCATTGGAGACTTTGTTGTTACTGTGTCTGGCATATCGAATACTCTCGGTAGCTTGCTGGGCTCTCCGAGAGGGGCGGAGGAATCGAACTCGGGTCGGCCATGTTGGCTGCTTGCAAGGCAGACGCCCTACCCGCTGTGCTATCGCTCCAGCCCTATGACAATGGTCATTGGAAATGATCATCCTGGACAAGAAGTGAGTGCTGAAAGGAGGTAAAAGGCTATACATAATAACTTTTTAGTACCTGTATTGCAAAACACAATGACAAGGAGAGAGAGACAGAGAAGGAGAGAGACAGAGATAAAGATAGAGAGACAAAGACAGAGACAGAGAAGAAGAAAGAGGAGGAGGAAGATGCAGGCTGAGAGAGGTGGTAGTGGAGGGAAACTGGGATACTGGTGCTGGGAAATGTGCACTGGTGAAGGAATGGTGTTAGAACATCTTATGACTGAAATCTAATCATAAACAACTCTGTAACTGTGTATCTAATGGTGACTCAATAAAATAAAATAAAATAAAGTTACTCTGGCATCATCCCCTAAAGCATGAGAGTCAGAAACACTTTAAGATATAAAATTAGCATTAGCCTAGAAAAGGCTGGCTCCCCTGAGCAGAGAAGCTTCAGCAGGAACAAAAGTCTGTGATAAGGATATGGTAGAAGACCATCAAAAATTTTAAGCTCCTCCTCTTGACAATACCCTTGACAATATTCTAGATGCTTATCAACATAGAAATCCCCAAGTGGGGACATTTTGGAATAAAACTATAAATCCAACTTTGCAAAGGCAAGTGGGCACACACCCTTTCT